GAAACCCTAAACCCTAAACTCCTAAACTCCTAAACTCCTAAACTCCTAAACTCTTAAACTCCTAAACCCTAAACTCCTAAACCCTAAGCATCGTGTCAGCCTCATAGGGCCAGGCTTTGTGCCGTAAAGCTGGGGACATTTTTGCAATTTGGCTTCGGCTTGCCGGTTTTGGGTTTAGGGTTTAGGGTTTAGGGTCTAGGGTTTAGGGGTTTAGGGTTTAGGGTTTAGGCTTCAGGGTTGCTGCCAGTAATTTCTTCGGTAGCAGCCCGGCAGCCACAAGATCTGATCCAGAACCTTAAAGTAGGTAGGGCTTTCGGGTATCCTATATTTTCCTTTATTGGACTCAAGGGGATCTTATTTGCGAATTTGTTTACAGAGGCTTTGAGGGGCCGACAAGTAAACGCGCTGGAGCGGAAGACTGATGAAAGCTGAAAGATGGACGCGGCTGGGAACACAAGCCTGAACCCTAAACCCTAAACCCTAAATCCTAAACCCTAACCCTAAATCCTAAACCCTAAATCCTAAACCCTAAACCCTGAACCGTGTCTCGGTGCCTTTAAAAAGGAAGGAGATCGACATCCTTTCGCAGTTATTGCCGACCTTGGAGGCTTAGGGTTCAGGGTAGCATAGGGGCTTAAATGAGTACCGATACTGTTTAGGGTTTAGGGTTTAGGGTTTAGGGTTTAGGGGTTTAGGGGTTTAGGGTTTAGGGTTTAGGGTCTATTGTGGGGGCTCCTTAGCTACTTCATTCTGATAGCTACAGGATGATCTACACCAAAACCGTGGACCAAAACCTCGTTGTAAGTCTTAAGGCCGCCCCCTGTATTATGTGTCAATCTTGACTGCCCAATCTCCCTGAACCCTAAACCCTAAACCGAAAGATCTCCAGCTTGGGTATCCCCGTTCTGTCCTACTTGCTCCTGCCCGTATCCGTCAAGGCTAAGGGGCGAATGCTGTTCCAGAAGTTTTCAGTTTAGGACTTTGGGTTTAGGGTTTAGGGGTTTAGGGTCTTTGCGGTCGGAGGTTTCGCAAGGTCTCTCTTGCTTCACCTTGCCGAGGGCCTGAACAGACAAAACTCGTTCCCTCACAGTTCCCCTGGTAATGAACCCTACTCTGAAAATCCATGCTTCTTAGAAGTCCAAACCCTCAGCCCCATTTGTATCATGTAATGTAGCAGCCTAAATTACTACCTACATTCTTCCGTAGGTTCCTTATTTAAACTCTAGCAACTCCGTTGGAGTAGGATTTCTTTGGCTTGTTTTGTCCCGTGTCCTTCCGCCCGAAGAGACTCAAGTGAGGCCGGGCGGTCTGAAAAAGTAATGGCAGCCCTGGAAAGTTCTTGTGCAAGTATGGCATTCATGGTAACTAAGGTAAAATTAATTATGGCACTTGTAGTGTAATTATAGTTATTTTGGTAACTGTGGTATACACCAATGATATACACCAAAGCCTTAATCTAATCATTCAGGCCTCTAGAGTCTAGGCATTACATTAGTGCATGGCAGCCCGGGACGCCTGGGCCCATAGAGACGCTCCCGCTCAAAGCTGCAGCAAAGCCCCCAGCGGAAAGCGCAAACAAGCAAGAGGACAACATCTGGCATGGTCGTGTCGTGTCAATCTAATGGTGAGGCATGCTAGGCATTGCCGAGGATTCTGGAGCATAAGATCAGCCTTGGGCAGATGCTGTTTGCGAGTAGTCTTGGGCACTCTGGCTTGTTGTATCGAGGCCACACTCAGGTCGTTAAGGAGCCAACTGTGTGGTCAGTGCAACCCATAGTTGTTTGGAGGAAACCAGACCACAGATGTAGTAGTTACATTTGCGAGGGGGGCTTTGTGAATCTGCTTGCCTGAAACCTCATGCCCAAGCATCATCAGGACTCGGCTGCCGCGGTCAATAAGCAAAAGGTTGTGTGTCGTAGCTAATAAGAAACGAAAAAGCGAGCTTGGCATATTTCAACCGGGCATGCGACATTGTGGCCGTCATGTACATGCGAGAAGCAATGTGTTGATAACGATCATACACAAAGTCCCTCCGTCCTTCCCTTTGTCCGCTGTGTTGAGACGCGCGGGTCCGTCCTTTATGTATTTGTAGACTTGCAGATGTGTTGGATCTTGCCCGGTTTGAAGCAAGCGTTCATCTGTGTAGTGTAAACGCATAAGGTAGTTGGTAGTTACGCACACAACCAATTGCATGCATGGATAGATGGACGGATGGATGGATGGATGGATGCGTGCGTGGATGTATGCATGGATGTGTGGATGTGTGTGTGTGTATGTATGTATGTATGTATGTATGTCTATATGCCTATATGTATGTATGTATGTATGTATGTATGTATGTATGTATGTATGAATGCATGCTATATTAATGTGCTGTTATGTTATGCTATATGTATATATATATATATGTTAAGTTTTGTTTGTTTGTTTCTTTCGTTATTTCTTTGTTTGTTTACCTGTTTGCTGGTATGCACATGCAAAGGTGTGTGTACATGTGTGCACACCGGTGTGCATATGTGTATCTATATGTTTATCTACCTGTACACATATATATATATATGTATGCATAGGCGTATATAGTTGTTCATCACATATATATATATATATACATACACATACACATACACATACACATATCCACATGTGTATATGATTGTATGTATGTATGTATGTATGTATGTATGTATGTATGTATACACACATGTGTGCATGTGTGTGTGTGTTTATATTTGTTTATATCTGTTTGCACATAGTATATATGTACGCATGTGCACTTGCAAGTCCAAAAGGGACAAACAGATAGACAGCTTTGCTCATGCATGTGCACACATCTCCGCGTGCATGTTCCCTCTCAGCCCAACTCGACCGCAGGCCTTCTTTCCTTTGTTTTGGCGTTGGCGGCCGCAGCCGTGCCGGTGACGCGCCGCGTGGCGACGGAGGATCCATTGAGGTGGCTCCCACATGGGTAGTTGGGTAGACGTGTTGCATTGCGTACTAGAGCAGTCCATTCTCGCAATGTGGATCCCAAGCACCTCCCCAGGGGAGCAATCTTGTGCACCCCAATACACGAACTCTGGGCCATGGGCCGCGCAAGATTCGGAGAGCTTCTCCATCAGATTTGATCACAGGGTGTGGCTGACAAGCGGATCCTGGTTAGTCCTCTTCTGTTGTGCATCCTCAAAGCAGTCATACTCACAGAGATTTCTTGTTGGGAGCCCCTCTTGTTGCCACAAGGCATGAACCCTGGGTCAACCGTGTGACTCTACAGCCCTGAACCTAAACCCAAGAACCCCAATTTGCACTCTCCACAGAGCAGTAGTGACCAGTAGTGCCCCCACAATCCACACATGCCTTTCTGTGACTCCACTCAGGTCAGGAGGGTCGGTAGCAGGCCCTGCACGATCATCAACACTGGGGCCATTCGCATGTCAAACAGGACCTACACCCTAAACCTCAAGACCCCATAGCCACAACAGCCCAATACCAAAAACCTGAACTCTAAGCACTCAAGCCACAACAGACTCCGAGGAAGCATGCTCTCTGCTGTCAGGCCTTCCTGCGTCACTGTGGAAGACCCCTTCGAAGATCTCCGAGACGTCGCATGACCTAACCCTCAAACGTCGTAGCGCTTAAAGTAACCCGTCCAGTAGACCTTATCGCAACCTTGTAACCGGTACAGCAGCCTTATAGTCTGCAGTAGCCCAGAAAGAAGCCTTAAAGGAACCCTACCCTGAATCCTATGCCCGAAACCCGAGTCGTGTTGCGTCTGGGAACCCTGAAACTTGTTCTTCGATTTTCGTGGGACTTGTCGCGATCTTCAGATCCCCCAGGTCGCCACTAGAGGTGTCATAGTTTTTTTTTTTTGGGTGGGGTTTTTTAGGGAAACCTTGAGCCCTAAACCCTAACACCCTAAACCCTAAATCCTATTCGGGATTCTTTGGTTTAGGGGAGTTTCGATTTTGAGGTTCGGGGTCTAGGCCGAGGCCCGGAGGGCCTCAGTTCTTCCCTTTAGGGCTTTCGGGTTTGTTGCTTAGGGGTGTAGGGGTTTAGGGTTCAGGGGTTTAGGATATTGAGTTTGGGGTTTGGCCCCAATTTCGGGTTTAGGGTCTTTAGGGGTAAAGGGGTTTAGGTCTGGGCTTAGTCACTAAGGCTAACCGTTTTGGACTACCCTGAAGTCGAAGAGCTTTGAAGCCGTAGATCCCCATCTGGTTCTTGTTTAAGGAACTAGTTAAGTTGCTAGAATAGGGGAACAAATGAATTTTGATATTAACGTGTTCTTATTTTGGTACCTTAAACGAAGTTCCGTCAGTTGAGGTGAAGATCTACGCATTGGTCTACTACGGAAGACGGACCTATGCCACTTGGATCCCGTGGATGGGTAAATGCGCGGATATCCCTGTACAGTACGATGCCAATAAGCAGGTGGAAGTGTAGATACTTTAATGCCCAGTGAACTCACGTATGTAAGGTATGTCAAGAGAAGCAAAATTGCGAATACATCTCGGTCAGCCAGTCAGCAGCTAGCTAACCGGCCAGCCAGCCTGCCAGCCTGGCTGGCTGGCTGCCTGCCTGCATATATGTACACAATCGAGCTTTGCATTCGGACTACCAGTATATGCATGTATACATCCATGCATGCATGCATCCATCCATACATGCATGCATACATTCTTACATGTGCACATGCATTCATGCATCCATCCTTCTATCCACCCACCCCCCGCCCCCCCGCCCGCCCGCCCACCCATCCATGTGTCCATTCATCTACACATAAGCAGTTAGACGGATCAAGACATACATGAGCAGATCGATACACAAATGCGCTTTTTTAAAAGCAAACACAAATATGCATATATGATAGATATGCATGTAGATGACTTACGTGTCTGATCTTGGACTTTGTTTGGGCAGTTTATGGATCCCAGGTGGACATCCTTAATGCCTATCTGGAGCGAAACCTCCGAGAGAATGGAGGGGTTCTTGATGGTGTGATCTTCGCAATGGTGAAGTACACCATGGAGGAACGCTTGCAAGCAGAAAGCTAGAGGGTTGTGGACTGCGGTTGGGGACTTTCGTTCTTTTGACATGCTTTTCCGCCACTCCCCTGTCGGCAGGACATGAACTACTTGGTTATGCTTCACCGTTGCCATCTCAGGGGATATTGCCATGGGCAAGCGGGTGAGGGTGCTTTTCTGAAATCTTCTGTCTCTCGTCTGCCGCTGAGGGCGCAACCCGAAGAGCTATATAATTCCCTGGCACATGCAGGGGGGTGCATGGGATGCCCGCACCTCAGGGAAGCCTGTGCACCGATGCTAGTAGAACAGAAGTCCAACACGCTGCGGCATGTTACACCACATGCACTGTGCCTTGGCATTATTGAGTGCTGGTCGCAAGGTAATATGGCGCCTCGCTGACCAGCCAGGTGCATATTACATCAAGATTGATGACGATGCACCTAGACTTGCAACTGTCCGACTTGTAAACTTTGACTTCGAGAAGTTTTTTGTTTCAGGCTTTCGGCATGGTCCATCCGCGTGCAGCCCAGGTCGTCTACATCGCCGACGGGGCGATTGCTGAAATGATTCGGGAAAAGCGTCGTGGGAGATTCCTTTTCGTATCCGCAAATGTTGCGAGCTCAGTTGGCAGCAAGTCTGTTGGCCTGAACCCTAGAGGTGCAAGCGCACCTTACACCCTACACCCCCAAAAGCCTTGTGCAGGTCGTTAACCACGGTATTCTTTCAGCGGTGCATCAAGAAACATCTGCGATCCCCCACCTGGTGAAGCCTCCGATTCCGGAGGGCCAGACGCCACAAGCACCCAGGCATTGACGTAGTCAGGAGGGTTTGCAGGCGTTGTGCGGTGAAATAAATGCTAGTCCCGATGTCAGATGTTCACTCCTGCTTGCACACATATTTCATAGAGACACACATGTGTGTACAAGTCAACCAGTATACATATTACCGGGCGCGGGATGAAGAAGTGCCTGGGTTGTAATGGGAAATGAGGCTTCTCGTGCTTGAAACGCGATTCTTTCCTGGAATTGATGTTTGCCACAAGCAACAGTTGGATAGGCTGAAATACGGTCCCTGCGCCCGGCACGGGTATGGTAAGTGGTTGCCGAGTCGTTGGTCAGTTGTTTGGCTTTCAGGGCTGACTTTCGGGAGTCGCTCCCAAAGAAATGCACCTTCCGCCCAGAGACATCTTTAAGCAATTTCGGCCGTATTTGAGAGCCGACCACTAGGTGAATGCGTAGGATTGTAATAAAGAAAGGCCCTTTACGAGCAGAGCCTGTATGGAGTCTCGAAGAAAAACCAAGCCAGTCGGTAAAATACACAAAATCAATAGTTGTAGACGTTCACAGGGAAGGCGGGGGGGGGGGCTTCTTGAGTCCCGC